TGGAAGGGGCTGTTTCTCCCACTCTTTGCTTCCCAGCAGAGCCCCTCCACCCCTTGCCCTTGTGGGCTGCTGACAGCTTGTTTGTGCAGGGCAGCCAGTCTTCCCTGGCAGCAGCTGAGAGATAGATTGGAAGTTCAGAGTCTGCTTTTCAAGGCAGAGCTACCCTGAGGAGGAGGTGTGTGCTGAGGAGGCAGCCTGGCCTCTGTGCAGGGAGCAGTGCAGCTGCACAGGAGCTGCCCTTAGCCACCTGCTCCAGCAGCAGTGCTGTGACCAGAGACTGTCTGTGACACCCCAGCTCCAAGGAGCATTGCCCTCCCTACACACATGGAGCTGCGCTTTGGCCTTAGCAGCCAACAAGAATTTGGGATTCACGAGTAAATTTCCCTCCCATTTGGCAGTGGCTGGGACCAGTGCCCAGACAGCAGTGGGGGAGGCATTGGTGATTCCAAAGCTGTGCTCTGCTCTGGCCAGTGGTGTTGTGCTGTCCCCTGCCCCAGGAGGGGTCCCTGGGCACACTCAGTGCTGCAGCAGGGCAGACCCATGCCCGTGGGGGAGCAGCCATTTACTCCCCACAGGCTTTTGGGCTGTGTCTGTGCTGAGATGGCAGAAACCCCACTGCGAGGATGCTGCCCACAGGTCCAGCAGCACAGCTCTGCTCCCAAACCCTCCTTCCCCAGCGTCCTGCCCAGAGGTGCCAGCACAGCTGTGGGTGCCCAGCCTCGGGCCCACCCACCCACCTGTGTGTGCCATCATCATACCTTGGAGCAAAGAGATGGGGTTGGTCACTGGGGACACCCTTTGGCTACCACAGTACTTGCTCTGCTGCTTTCCTCCTGCTCCCCCACCCTCTGTGTTGCTCCTGAGGTGGCTGCAGTGCCCACCCAGCTGCACCATGGCAGTCAGGCACTTGGAATTACTTTCTGCTGCCCTTGTACCTGCTTTGCATTCTCCCGTAATCTCCCGGGCTGTCAATCTCGTGCTGTTGCAGCTCTCTATTCCCAGGGAAGCCAAACACACATATCCTGCACAAAGAGATCCGTGGGCTGCTGCTAAAAATGGAAAACACCTCGCTCTGAGAGCTGCAGACGGCCTGGCAATATCCTGGGTGTGAATTATGATACTGTAATTCAAGCTTTGTCAAACAGAGGGGCTTAATTAGAATATATATATAATTGTAAAAACTAAAAAGCTGACGAGTACAATTGTGTGTTTGAGCTGCCTGCTACAGAAAATAATGAGGAGAGAATACATTAAGGCACAAAAACCTTCTACCTTCAAAGAGCAGCTAGCTCTGATTAAAAATACCCCCGGCAAGGCGAGGGGACTCAGCAAGAGCTGGGGGAGTCTGCAGTGCTGGCTCGGCCATAACTCTCACCCCTGTTACACAGCTTCTGCTGGACACAGCTGCAGCCTTGGGGTCCCCCCACCTCCCCATTCTGGCTTTGGGGGATTCATATTGGGTGCCCTGTGATGTCCCAGCTTGGTCTCTGTGGGTTGCCAGATTAAGTAAAAATATGGAAAACATACCTCATTTGCCTATCCCCCCTCACCATAGAGCTGCAGTCCATTGGGTGCTCCACTGCCCTTGGCTGTGGGCACATAGGGCTGGAATTGCCCCCAGTTGCCCCAGGGGATGTGTGTTTTCTCCCAGCAGCCAAAGAGCAGAGTTCTTCCAAAGACCCAGTGCAAGGGTAGAGGAAAATTACCCAAACTAGCCTGGTCATCAGCCCTGACAAGGCTCCCTTAATGCTCCAGCACCGAGCAGCCAGCAAAGGGGGGTTTGTGTACCACTGCTGTTGTGGCCCTGTTACAGGTGGGAGGTGGGCATGTCCTGTGGGGAAGGTGACATGGCAGGGCATACACAGCCCTGACTCTGCTTCATGGGCATCACAGACAAAACTCTGCTGCAGCTCAGCGGCTTCTGAGTGCTGATGTGTAGGAATGGGCCCTGAGCTCTCCTGAAAAGTATAAACCCTTACTGTAAATACACTCTGTGCTGTGCCTGAGTTCCCATCAGTGGGCCTTGGAAGCTCCACTCCTGCAGTGACTGTGGAGCAGTGTCAGGGCCCCAGGAGCAAAGGGATTGCACAGGACAGACCAGGGAGTGGCAGTGCTGCCTCCAAAAAACTGCATGTGCACTGTAAACACACCTACCAAGAGCTGGTGGGGTTTCCAGTGTCTGGCCATGAAGTACCAGATTTGTTACCACTCAATAACAGAGTAAAAGAATGAGGAGAGCATTCCAGTCCTACCTGTTGGAGCAAGCAAGGGAGTTTGTGTGTCTGTGACAGCAGTGCTCAGTTATTGATCTGTAAAAGGTCTAATACATCTCTGCAACACCCTTTGCATGAAATACAGATGTTAGCTTCAATTAACTGGCAATCTCTTATTAATCCTTGCTAACACCTGGGGAAATCTGGAAAAGGATTGGCCAGGGCAGCGTTGGGGAAGCCCTGGGCGCCGGGCTGTGCCAAGCACTGCTGCTCATGGGAGGGTTTTACTGGGCAGTTCAGTGCATCCACAGTTTTCCCAGCCCTCACTTGGGCAGCATTGCCACCTCTCCCACCAGGGCAGGGAAAGCCCCCAGGATGCAGCTCCAGCCCAGGACTCCCCAGCAGTTGTTGTTTGGCTCAGCCCCATGAGGATGGAGGGCCCTGAGCACCTCTCCCCCCCTTGGGGCCAGCTGGCTCTTTGCAGAGGGGTTTTGGAAGGGACACTCTTATCCTGGGGACAGTAGCCAAGGGAGCTGTCACCAAACCCAGAGGGGCTCTAAGTGCTTCTCAGCTGGCAGGTCCAGTGAACCCCCCAAAGCCAAGACCCCATTTTTTGGGACACTGTGTTCCCTGCTGGGCCCCTGTCCCCACAGGGGGGACATCTCTGTGCAGCCCCACAACCCCCAGAGCCCTCCATTAGAGCGTGTGAGCTGCACACACCCCACAGCTGTCCCCTCCTGCACCCAGGCAAAGCGTGGGCAGGATACCCTGACACAGGGCTCAGCATGCAGCAAGTCAGTGCCTTGGTATTGACTTAATCATGGAGAGCAGAGGGAGAGGGAAGGGAGGCTCCTGGCATTCTGCTGTGAGTTGGTGCTGCCACCACGTCCCTCCTGCCAGCTCACATGGTGACAGAACATTTTCCTCCTTCGGGCTGGGAACGCTTCTCATCCCACCAGAGAGGCAACGTGGGTTTCCCCTTCTGCCTATTTTTAAGCATGCTTTTATATAGAAAGAAACAAATGGTGGAGTCCTGTTAGTTCCTGGAAATCCAGTGAAGACTGGGGAAAAGCCGTTCTGGGGAAGGAAGACTGCACAGAATTGTCAGACTGACAAGGCTGGGGCAGTTGGCCAGCATAGTGATGAGTGTGTTGAGTCTCAGCAGGGCTGTTGGTGGTTTGGCAGCCGCCCTTGCAAGCCCTGGAGCTGGGCAGGTGTTTTCCAGCACTGTGGATGGTCTTGCACATTTTTGACTGTGCTCCTTCACACTGACAGACCACTTGTTAGCTCTGCAGCTTCCCCCAGGCTGTCAGAGCAGGAGAGCAATGCGTGTCTAACCATGCCACTATTTCACCAGCAGTAAGGCCCAAGAGGGAGAGATTTTGGGAAGGGAGGAGAGAGGCCTGGAGGGAGGCTGAGGGTGGCAGACAGAGCCCTGCTGTGCTGAGCTCTTCCATGTGCCTCTCCCTGTGGGTTTCACAGGGACGTTCCCTGCCTCGCCTGCTGCTGGCCGTTCCTCCAGGCTCACAGGGGGGTGCTGGCATCATTCAGCTCGATGGGAAACACAGCGTGGGCTGGGACACTCACCCTGTACACACCCCTCCAGCAGCTCCTAACTCCAGCCTTTGCCAAGGGGAGAAACCCACAGCAGCTTCCCAGCCCCTGCCCCTGCCCACAGCTCACATCCATCCCCTCAGGGCTGCCGAGGGTTTCACAGGCAGCAGATGAGATGGGAGGTGATATGTGAGTGAGAGGAACCCGAGCTGCAGCTGCTGCAGTACTTGGTGACCCCTCAGTGAAGTTTTTCACTGAAACGCTGATACCTGCTTTGTGATGGACTGGTGCCTCCCCATTGTTATTGTCCTTGTCAGTAAAGCTTTAAATTTATTCATGAAGCACGCTGGAGCTCAGGTGGCAATAGCTAAATCCATTTAGCAGTAGGAATAAGAGGAAAGCCATTTTAATGTTCTCTTGCAGTGCTGCAGTACTTAGCAAACCCAAAGGATATTAATTACTCAGCATGCTCCGAGATGTAAAAGCATGAATTTATCAAGACAAATACATTCAGAACTAGGGTAAGTCAACAGTAATTAATGCCATGCAAAAAAGAGACCGAGAAAGGAAGGATTAGCTGGCCCTGTTGCAGGAGAACATGATGTAGCCCTGAGTTATCCCTGGGCTATGGGACTGGAGTTGTGGTGAGGCATCTCTAACAAAAAAATCTGCCTGTGCCTGTCACGTATATCCCTGGGATGGGGGTTTCATCCTGGTTCACATTTCCAAGGCAGAATGATGCAGGCTGCCTCTGAAATGCTAAGTCGTGCTTGGCAGCCAGCAACAGCTTTTTTATGCAAAGCCTTTGATGTTGGAAGGCACTTGAGAAGAAGAGGGGCATGGGCTTTTTTGTTTGCCACTGAATTTGTCTGCACTGTCCCAATGTTTTAATGGAGTTCAGCAATCATATAATTGTGAGCACAGCCAGAGATGAGTGGCAGCTCAAGAGATGAATTGGTAGGTTCTCCTTGACAAATCTAAGCCTAACATGTGTCTTTATACCACATCCATTAGGGCAGACAAATGGAAAATCCAGAGATGGCTGCTCTACATTTAACAGTCATGGCATTTGGAGAGGGCTGATGTCTTCCTCATCATCAGTGTTGGGTCAGGCTTGGAAAAAAACAGCAAAAAAACAAAGCAATTTGAGCAAACAAGTCTAGCCATGCCTTATTTAGAGGTGGATTACTGTGTGTGGAGTGAGTACAGCCAGTGCTGATGCTTTGTCTCCAGGTCACGGGGATGGCACAGATGACTTGAACCTAGAGGATGCCCTGTTGGACCCCGTCACCAGGAGACGTAAGTCACATTTCTGCACTGCTTTAAAGAGGGGAAAACAGATAGATGTGAATAGATGCAATTTGTTCTTTGGGATCTGATGCTGCTGGGAGGGTGGTAGAGGATACAGCTGCCTGATCCTCTCTGCCTGGGAGACTCAGGGTCTGGGTTGCACAGGGGGAGCTGGGGACAGTCCAGGAGAAGCTGCCTGCTGCCCTTTGCTTGCTGGCTCCTGTGAGAGCCACAGAGGCCCAGCACACAGTGCTCTGAGGCAGCAGTGGCACTGAGGCTGCCCTTCTGGCACCCTTTCCTGCCTCAGCAGTGCCTACCAGCAGCCCTGGAGCCACCGTGCAGTCCCTCCCAGCTCGCTGTGCCCGGCCAGGCAGGGGCACTGCTGGCCCCTGCCCTGCTGCCACTGCAGTGTGGTGCCCAGGAAAGCTCACGGTGCCCAGGGGCACTGCTCTGCCTCACTGGGGTTCCAGTGTCAAAGCAAACTCACTTCCTCAGGGGTGCCCCACTGCTGGCATGCAGCAGTCAGTATTTTGGTGTTTTACACCCCAAGGACAAAACCTAACTGCCAGCACAGCAGCTGAGGGATGGGAGGAGGCTCATCTCCCTCCCTGGGAAATGGCACCTGCCTTACCCCAGTGCTGAGCCCAAGGCCACTGTGCACCCACACACATCTCTGGCTCCATTTGCTCCCCAGCCACGGGGATGCTGTGGCAGAGCTGCAAATGCCAGAACCCAGAACCCCTCACTGCCCAGCACTCCCCACACAGCTCATGGTGGCTGTCCCCAGACCCAGCACCTGGCAGGGCAGCAGTGGGAATTGCTCCCTGAGCGATGCCAGGCTCTGGGATGGGGCAGAACATACCCGCCTGTATGGAAGGGAAAGCTGTAACACTGCAGCCTCTTGTGCTGTAGTCTAACAGCAGAGGGACACTTGTGCTGCTTTACCTTGGAGTTTGTGTGGAATAGAGGGTGCTCTCTGCATGGGATAGGCCATGGGCTATCAGACTTGGTCACAGGGCTCATGCAGCTCATCTAGGATTTTGCTAAAGCCATTTAATGCAGCATGTGAGGAGAGCTGGGTAGAAATGACTGATGTAATGGCCACCTCAAGTGGAGGGAAAGTTCTCCAGGCTGGAGTCCCGGAGGGGAGGGGAGGGGAAGGTTCCAGGGAGGGGAGGGGAGGGGAGGGGAGGGGAGGGAAGGGAAGGGAAGGGAAGGGAAGGGAAGGGGCAGCACTGTCCCCATGGTCTCCCCACGTGCTGCATCCCACTCTGCATTCATGTCAGCCCCAGAAAAAAGCTAACCAAGGGTCTGGAGTTGGGTCACATCAAACCACAGCAGCACACTGGAAATGAAGCCCAGCAACATCACTCCAGTCTAATGGAAATTAATGGGAATGGAGCAGCCACAGCTCTTGCTCATCATTTATTCATATACTTGGTAATGCCAGCCACTATTAATAGGCAGTGGTTCCCATATTGCTCCTTCCCTCCCCCCTCAGTGGCTGTAGCTTGTTTTAGCCCAGGAGCACCTGGAGGGCTGGGATCTGAGTATCAGGGTGTCACTGACAGCCCTCCAGCTGACAGGGAACTCCTGTGCACAGCACAGCACAGGAGATAATCTGTCATTGGGCTGCCTGACCAGCCAGGGACACCAGAGCACTGGCACCTCCCTGCTGGTTTCCACACTGGTGTGTGCAGTGCCTGCCCTTCCCTGCCTGCTGCTCACCCCAGAGCCTTGGGGCAGATTGCTGCAGCTCCCTGCTCCTCTCCAGCTGGGCTGGGGTGCTGGCTCAGCTCAGGGCAGCACTGGGCTCCATTTCACCCATGGGCTGTCCTGGTCCCTGTGGCCACACTCTGTGTGTAGGGTGTTCATGGCCCTGTGCCCTGAGTTTACAAATGCAGATGTCAGAAAGCTGTGCTGAAATCTTTGCCATTCATTCTCAATCCAGAGGTGACATTTTTGGTGATGCCTGTGACTAACACTTTTCCTCCCCATCTCTTTTGTCACAGCCACTCCCAAGGGCCCCAGGAAGCCAGCAGGTGGGACAGGTGGGACAGGTGAGACCTCCTGGCACGCTCCCATCTCAGCTCAGTGTGGGGTGCACTTCCCCTGGGGCTGAACTGTGAGCCCCCATGGGCTGCCCCTGTGTGGCTGAGTGCTGCTGCCTCAGCAGCTGCTTTGGGACCCCTTCACTTGCCCATGGGGAAGCTGGAGCTGTGTGTGCACCTGCACTGTTCCAGTGTGACCAGAGAAATGCAATATTGATATTTCTGTCCATGCTGAGGCTAAGTGGAATTTACAACCAAGGCAGAATTTTGCACACTTTGCAGTATCCTAATGGAGAAGACACAAATCACTGCTCAGCTACACAAGAGCTTTTGTTCCTGTCTGCATGGCACTTGCTAGCTTTCCTTCCAGGAGGAAGTCCAGAGGATATTTTCCTTCCTTTTTTTTATTCCAAGATATCCCCAACCTCCATAGAAAGTACCATCTTGGTGACACTTACCCATCCAGGGGAGAATGGGTCTCTCACTATTGGTGCACATCAGATGTGGTCTGGCCAGCTCCCAGCAGTGCCATGCTTGAGGAAGCTCCCTTGAATTCACACGAGTTTTGTTGCCAGCAGCTCCTCTGGCTGAGTTCTGGCCAGAGTCCCTGTTAAATATAGCACAGCCACAGGAGCTGAAGGGTTGCTCAGTCCCACTGGGGGAGCCTGCAATAAACTGCATCAGAGGAGTGCGAAGAAGTAAATCCACTCAGCCCTGCATGAGGGTCTTGGCACAGATTTAAGCAAATTCAGCTGTCTGGCTCCTTGGCCACCATGGTCTTTGGTAGGGACAAGAAGAGCCAAGTGCCAGAGGCACGCACAGGGCTTCAGTGCTTGGGTTGCAGCCCAAAAGAGAGGTTGTTCCATCCAGTGAACTCCCCCTGGGAAATGGACACGTGTGGAGGCTGAGGCTGTGTCTCAGCCAGTTGCTTCTTCCCCAGGGAGTGTTTTTGTGTGAGTGATAGCACTGGGAGGCTCCTGCAGTAGGTTCCTGTGCCCTGGCCCCTCTCTGTGCATGCCCTGCTCAGCTCAAGGTCACTCATGGGCAGCTGCACAGGGAGCAGTGTCCCAGCCGCTGGCTCAGTTCCACTTCTCATCTCCCCAGCCCTCAGGAGATGCTGCAGGTACCAGCAGGACTCCCCCAAAATGAATTACTCAGGGATTGCTGGGGCTGGGCAGCAGCCACAGCTTGGATGGGGACACTGGAATGGTGCCAGGCTTTCCTGAAGCCTTTGTGATAGGTCACGATTGAGCAGCAGAGTGGCTGGATGCCCTTTCCAGCTCCAGCCTGGCATGGGAGGCCCTGGCAGTGGTGCAGCACCATTGCACAACACCCACAGAGCAGGGTGTGTGCCAGCAGCCTTGTGCTGCCCCCACAAACAGGAGTGTAACAATCCCTTCTCTCCTGCAGACTTGGATCTGGCTGATTTCTTTGACACGCCTGTGGAGACAACCACCAAGCCAGCCAGGCCCACTCCCAAGCCCTTCCCCAGGCCAGGGAAGCCAGGTAAGGCAGAGCCCCTCCCTGCATCCATCCCCAGGGCACCCCGAGGGAGGGGTGTCCCCGTGACAGCTGGGATTGTGTAAATAGCAGAGCTCTGAGCTGGCCCAGGCAGCCCCAGTGTCCCAGCAGGGTGGGGGTTTCCCCTCAGCACTCATCTGAACCCACTTTCAGAGGGTAACAGCATTTTGGTTTTTATTCCTCCCTTCAGACACTGGCTTTTGGGATGTCATTCGCACCACCACCACCAAGCAGCCAAAAACTACAAGAGCCCCTCCTAAGCGTAACCCAGGTGAGCATCATCTCCACAGTCCCTGCTGCTTCACTCCAGCTCTGCTGCTGGCACAGGGGAGGATTTGGGATCTGCCAGGATGGTGGCATTGCCCTTGTCCTGGTACTTACAGCCTCTGGTCCGTTTGCTTATCTGAGACATCTCAAGAAAAAAACAACTATGAAAAACCACAGAGAGGACAGGACCTCTGAGCATTACCCTGCATTTCCCAGGGGACCTAGTGGTCTCTGGACCATGCTTCATTCCCATGCTTGCTGGAAGGCTGTGGGCTGGTTGTGCTCCCTGTCATGGCACAGCCCTGTTGGGCTGCACTGGCAGATACCCTGTGCACCCTGTCAACTGGGCATTTTGCTGCCTGCCGAGGCAGGGGTTTGGTTTGAATCAGAATAAACTCAGGAGAGCACTGGTGGGAGGGCACAGTTGGCTCTGTACTGGGCTTTTAGCTGCTGTTTGTCAGAGACAATATCCTCTGTCAGCCAGGCAGCTCAGGGGACCAGCTGAGCACTCACAGAAGAAAATAACTCCAAAGAATCAAGCACAGCCATTCCAGCCAGCACATGAGCACAGTACAGCCACCTCCCTCCCTTCACTGGCTGGGCCCTTGGGGCACTAGTTTGGCTCTGACTTGTCCTCCTGGCCTCATTTATCTGATTGCCTGGCACCCCAGCCATGGGGACCCTGTTCCTGCAGGAAGGACAAGGTATTCCCCAGCACAGCAATGTGGGGACATGGAACAGGATGGGTTTGGAAGATCTGCCACGAGGCCCCATAGCAGAATTGGGAAATGCTTGTGTCTGGAGCTTCATCTCTTTCAACAGTGTTTTAATTAATTAATTTCAGAGCTCCTCAGCCTATCTCCACATTGCTAACCCTGGTCTTGTTTTCTAGAAAAGGGTCCTATGGATTTTGACTTGGCTGATGCCCTTGATGATAAGAACGATAGGAAAGATCCTGGGAGGCCGGACATAAGGCCAGGTGAAGGTAGGCTGACCTCTCCTCTCTGTCCTTCTTGCTCCAGTCCTGCTGTTCCCTGAGACTTGCAGGAGATCCTTCCCAGCCTGACACCATTCCCCCTAAAAGATGGGATAAAGAGAAACAGGTGCTGCCTGGTCCAGTGTCCTGTCCTGCCTGCTCAGAGTGGGGACATTTCCAGAGGCAACTTCATCCTGGGGAGGGAAGGAGCCTGTTCCTCAATGGTCCCTGGCAGAGGGGGGCTCTTCCTAACAACTTGCTCCATGTCTGTGTGCAGGTTTTTTCCCTCAGGGTCTCTTCTGATCCATTAAGTTGCAGTGGTTGTGTTGAGTTCCCTCATCCCCAAACCCAACAGCTCTTTAGCCAAGGCATGGGCTGCTGGGGTTCACACTCACTGCTGAGGTGTAAATCTGGAGCAGGCTCAGGTCCTGGCCTAACACACCCTGTGGGCTGGGAGGGATCTTTTTCCATCTCTGAAGTACTCCAGTGAATGAATCATTTGTCTGTGAGGATTGTTCCCCTGAGCACTGGAGCTGGGAAGCAGACTTTGCACGGCTGCTTTATTGATGTTGGGATGGCTGTACACCCTGCTCACACGCCTAATTAACAGGCAGGTATTTTATTACATTGTATTAACTGGGTGACTTGTCTGCACTTTGGTATTCTGGGCTTGCTGAGCTTCCAGGCTCCTGCAGGAAAGGTGGAGGTGTAGAACTGCTGGAACGTGGCACTGGCCACGAACCAGCACACACATTCCCCCAACACCACTGCTCCCTGAACTGCCTGGGACCTCTCCAGGCTCTGGCATAGTCAGGGCTTTCATTCTTTTCACACTCATTACTGAGCCCATAAATCTGGTTTTTGTGGTAAGCTGATGAATAAGGCAGTCTCTTCCAGTTAAGGCAAAGGAAATCCTTCCCAATGCACAGCATCAGAGGAGGAGCCTTTTGCTGTCTCACTGTTGGGTCTCTGCTCCCATCACTCACCTTGTGCACCCCAGGGCTCCCTCTGGGGCTGCAGCTGAAACCTTCAACAGCACCACTCATTCAGCTGCACGTTCACAGACCCCATTTCTCTGTACTTATCCTGCATTAATTAGACTTCCCCACTACAAGGTAACTTTTTCATGTGTCCCAAAACATGCTGGTGCTCAGATTTTCCCCTGGACTGTTCTGTCCCTCTGGGAAGGATAAGGGTCAGCTCCTGCCTGCAGGACCCCAGACCCAGCTGGTGCAGCCAGGGGCTCACTGATCCACAGCACACACACAAACCACTTCTTCCTGCCTCCTCCACTCTCAGCCAAGGCTGGCCACCAAAACATGTAATGAACTCTTAAATTATCAGTCATCTGTGATTATCAGCATCCCCACTCCTAAAAATCACTCATTTCAGTAAAAAAAAATACAGTAGCATTTAAACTAGTCAGTTATTACCTCTTCTATGACCTTAAAGTAATTCAGGGTTAACATCTGGTAAGCGTGAGAGAAGCAGTACTACTTTTTGACCAGTCCCAGTTGCCAAGGGGGGATGGAGCAGCCTGTGATCCCAACTGTGGCACAGCTATGGCTCCCTCAGGTGCCAGCCACTGTTTGTTCCTGTTCCTTTTAAAGGGTTTTCAGACGATGACCTGGCCAGCATCGTGGATGGTGGCTACAGCCCAGACAAGAAGAAGGGTAAGTGCTGACCTAGGTATGGTTGTTTTCTGTAGCAGTCATGGCTCAGGGTTACCCCAGCTCCTGGAAAGGGCCCTGTGCAGAGCTGTGCTCACCTCCATGGTGGGGGCAAAAGGGGTCTCAGCCATGGAGCCAAGGGAGAAGCTCTTGGCTTGTGTGGTCACTCCTGGTGCCAGCCATTGGAGATGCTTGTGTTTGATTCCATGGCTCTGCAGCTCCAGCTGCCACCAGGGCAGACAGGACCTGTGTCTCCCCATCACCCCGAGGGCACCCTGGAGCCATGCATGGCTACATGCCCTTGCTTGCTTTTCACCACATGACCACCAATGTCTGGAACAAGGGGGAAATCCAACAACAACCGGATAAGCCGTTCACAAGGATCCACAGCATTAAATATTAAAAGCAGTCACATAAAGAGCTGGACACTATGAGCCTAATCAACATTTAATAAATCCCCGTGCCAAGGACAAGACGCATCAGAGGCATTAACGCAACGCTGACCTGCTTCCATAAATTCACATGGAAGTGACTCGGCGAGGACTGCGCCTTCCAGGGGGAGCAGCTTCTCCTCCCAGCCCAGTTTCTCCAGGGAGGGTGATATCAAAACAGACTTCAGTCCAATCGAGGGTTCCCTGATGTGATGGAGCTCAGCCAGTCAGCTCCCTGTGATGGCACCCATGTGCTGTGTGACACTCTGACAGTTCTCTTGACACTGAGCAGTGGGGGTGAGGGCAATTATCAGACACAGGCAGAGGTGCCCCATGCAGTGGATCCCACAAAACTCCCCCCGTGCACACACAGAGGGACAGGAGCAGCTTCAAAGCCCCCAGAAGCAAAACCAAGCAGCCCAGTGGAGTGTGGGGCAGCAGAAGTGCTGCAGCCCATGGAGGCGTCTGCCCCCCCGCCCCAGGCCAGGGCTGCCCTGGCCCCCCTTTCGTGTGTGTCCCCTCGCTGTGAGCCCGGCAGTGTGGGGAGCAGAGGGCAGGGAGGTGCAGGGCACTGATGGATGGATTGTGTCTCTGCAGGTGCCAGCGGCAGCACCGACAACAACGACTACAGCGGAGGTGGGTGTGTCCGGGGGAAGGTGGGGAGGGACGGAGCTGTGGGCGAGCGCCCGTCCCTGAGCTCCCCGTGTGCCCCACAGTGGCAGAGACCGGGACAATCGCCGGCATCGCCAGCGGCCTGGCCATGGCGCTCATCGGGGCCGTCTCCAGCTACATCTCCTACCAGCAGAAGAAGTTCTGCTTCAGCATCCAGCGTGAGTCCTTCCCGCAGCACCCAGGGCACACGGCCAGCACATGCCTGTCCCACCCTGAGCCCTGCTGCCATCTCCACCCAGTGCCCCCAGCTGGCAGAACAAAGCCCCAGCACAGGTCACTGAGCCCCCCGTGTCAGGGTTTGCACAGACAGGAACCCAGCAGCCATGGCAGCCCCAGGACCCACTGCCATCCCCAGGGCTCACACTGCCCTCACACCCCACACAAACACAGCCCCAGGACCCACTGCCATCCCCAGGGCTCACACTGCCCCTCACACCCCACACAAACACTGCCCAAGGCCAAACCATCAATACCAAACACAGAAAATATGAAAAAAAAAAAAACCCACCCCAAAATAATCAAACCAAACCCCTCCAAATCCCAGCAAGCAGTAAAAACTCACTGGGATGCAGGGAAGGGAACAGGGGCAGTGTCTGCATCTGGGGCTTCAGCCCACTGCACCCTCAGCAGCTATGTGACAGTCATTGCAGTAAACTGCAAATTAAGCAGCAAAACTTACCATAAAACAGCTTTTGCATGAGCTGCCCCTTGGAGCTGCTTGGTGCAAGCATTGCAGAAGAGTCCTCACAGCCTCAGCCCACAACACTCACCTAACCATGGTGCCTCCTGCAGCTCTTTATGAGAGGGAAGTTACAGGCAGCTGAGTTACAAGCTCTTTTTCTAAATTAATCAATTGAAATCTCCTGTGAGTCCCATTTGCTCTAGGGAAAGGGTGTTTGGGGTTGGAAATTTCTGTTGGGATCGTGTTATTTTCCCAGTTGTGCCTGAAACAAACAGCATTTTGGTAAATTAGATCAGCAGGAAAAGTCAAATGAATGTGATGGAATGAAACACTTTTGTACATTCCCCCCACTTAAATGATATTTTGGCAAGAATAAATAATAAAAGAAATTGAGTAAAGGCTTTGATGAGGAGGGAGCTGAGAGACACAAAGCCCCAGAAAGGCAGCAGGAAATTAAAGTTAATTATAAAGGAGGATTAATTTAAGCCATCAGACATGGCATGCTGGGCTAATGTCAGGCCTTAGATGCATTGCAGTGCATGACAGAAATCTAAGAGTTGTCAGCCACTGCTTTTTATTGAAAAACATAAATTGCATTTGCTGTTACTCCAGCAAAACACATCTGACCACTCACTTGATGCACAGAGGAACAGGCTCACTTATTTCTCTGTCCTTCAGCTTTGAGTCTCTTCAAGGAGCATTTGCTCATGATTGCTCTAAAGGAGATGCACAGCACTGCCTAGAACTCTGCATCCCACTTTGTTTTCTTACACTTCACCTGGTACTCACCAGCCATGCCCTGGCTGTGGCTCAGCCTCCTCCTGTGCCTGGGCAGGGTGGCAGCTGCGCCTCTGCTGCCTCCACAGCTTGGCCAGCTGCTGCCTGCAGTGTCCCTGCTGCCATGGGGGCTTTATGGGGGTTTTCTAGCCAGCTGCAGAACCCTTTTCTCATGTGTCTTGGAGGCAGCAGCTGCCCCATTGCTGCCCAAGGCTCCCACCACACTCCCTTGGCCAGGTCCTGGCACCATTCCCTGCCTCCCTCGTTCCCTGGGAGATAGCAGTGAGCCCTGTCCAGAGCTGGTGGTGGGGCACAGCCAGAACCTGCCACGCCCTGAGCTATATTTATGTGTGCAAACAAGTTATAGATGCCTGTAAAGTGTGTGCTGCATGGCCTGATTGCCTCAGGCTTCATTTGCAGGCCAGCACCGGAATCCCCTTCCCTGGTCCTTCTCCAATGGATGCAACAGCTTGCACAGCACTCCCACCTCTGCCTTTCCCCACAGCTGCCCCTCAGAGGAGCTGCTGAGGATGCCTGAGGTCCATGGCACACCCCAGCCTGTCCTAATTCACCTCCAGCTCTGAACTGGACCACCTCTTTCTCCTGCAGCCCCCTTTCTCCTGCCCACCCTCCTGCAGCCAGCCCTGCCCACCAGTGCCCAGCCTGGCTCCACTAGTTGATAACGTTGGGAACTTCTTTGCATTTAAATAAGGGACTTACTCGGCATTTGACACCCCACTGGGATCCTGCTTCATCACCACGGCCCTGCTCTGAACTGCTGCTTGAAGCTGTGCATAACTTAGCTCTTAATGAGGCTGTGGCACATCTCTGTGCTGAGGCACACAGCAGTCCTGTCCGGGAAGCCTTCCTCCCTTCCCCTCCCGCGCTCCTCAGAGCTCAGCTCCTCAGACAGGAATTAGCTGGGCTGTCTCTCGTGATAAAGATGAAGCAGGAGCCTCAGACAAAAGAGCTGCTGCTGGAGCTGTGCCTGCCAGGAGCTCCATGGGCACTTTGAAACCCAGCAAGTCTCAGCACTGGCTGTAAGTTATGGAGGCTTCTGTGCTGCCGTCACTGCAGAGGAGGTTTCAAAAAGGCATCTCAGCTGTTACAGCTCTGTGCCCATTACCTGAGTTTTTAAGGCATCAAAGCAAATAATTTCACTTTCTACCCTTCCCCTCTCACTGTGTTTATTGTGTTCCTCAGAGGGACTGAACGCCGAGTACGTGAAAGGAGAAAACATGGAAGCCGTCGTGAGCGAGGAGCCCCAGGGTGAGAGCCTTGCATGCCTTACCCTGCCTGCCTCCCTCCCCTAAAACAGCTTCACCCAGGCACTTCCCCAAAGTCCCCGCTGCTGCACGGAGCTGCTGTGTCCCTTTGATGCTGGCATGCTTAGGTGATGCTGCAGCTTTTGTGGAACACCCACCCCCGAGCTTTACCCCTTTAGTGCACACAAAGGAAAGGCCGCAAAGAGCCCAAGGAGCTCTGCTGCACACGATGGCAGTTAACGTGGAGCTTTCATGTAACAGCCACTGAGAGTCTGGCACCAGGGAAGCATGATCCTTCTGTCAGTGACAGACAATCAAAGCTGCTGCAAAGGCTTTTCCAGTGTCACACACAATCAGCCAGTGCTGGGGCTGCTTGTGCCCTGGTTCCATGGTGTGCTATTGTACTCATGGGTTTTTTTCTTTCTCCCCAGTTAAATATTCAGTCCTGGAAACGCAGTCAGCAGAGCCACCAAAACAAGACAGCGCGAAGATATAAAGCGTGACCCAGGGCTAGAAACTAATCAGTCAGCAGCAACAGAGATCTTAACGTGCTTGTAATTTAGCTTTTAATTTAATTGACTCCAAAGCTATTTAATGTGTATTTAAGCTTGAACTGGCTTTTTATTGCTCTAGGCTTTAGGGTTAGACTGGTAGCATGTGTTTATTTTTTGTGAAGAGGTTTATGTTTACATTGAAGCAGTAGTGTAGGATTGGTGTGCAGGTGGATGGAAATCCACATGAGGTGCTTCAGCTGTGGTCACTTTTCAAGAGCTTACAGGTGTGAGGGCAGTGAAGTGCCTGTAAATAGCAATCCAAAGCCAAACCCTGCAAAGCGCCTCAGCCACCTTCTGCCTTCAGCTCCGGGCAGTGTCACTTCAGTGGTGGGGACAAAGCTGCACATTCCCTGAGGGTGGATCACAGTCCTTTGTGTAGCTACACCTAAAATGAAGTGCCTATGGTGGGTCCTTGTGTGGGGCCTTGGGCTGAGCCAGGTGACTCCCTGCTCCCAAGCCAGGAGTTGAGGATGCTTCACCACCACCACCCAGAGCTCAGCTTGCAGCCAAAGGACCTGATTTTCACACCAAGTCACAAATACACTTGATAATGTGTGTGCAGTGTTCACCTCTAGCAAATGCCATTGGAATGCTCCACTGTGCTGTAGATCAGAATGGAACTGAAGGGATACAGTTTGTCTTAAGCTGCACCAGGGGAAGTTTAGGTTAGACATCAGGAGAAAATTCACTGAAAGAGTGATTGGGCACTGGAATTGTCTGCCCAGGGAGGTGGTAGAGTCACTGTCCCTGGACTTGTTTAAAAAAGACTGGATGTTGTTGCTATCTTACCACAGGGGTTCCACACTGCTCTCTCCTTATCACAAAAGTTCCATACCTTCTTGGTGGGCAGCTCCTCAGAGCACTGACTCTTTCTTCTTCACAAAGCAGCCACTGACTCCAGTTCCCTTCTCACCCAGCCACCCCACTCTTTTATAGCACTCTGCTTCTCACTGGTTACAGCTGTGCCCTGTTAAAGTCAGGCCTGTTCCTAATCCTTGATAATTGGCCCAGCTGCAACTCCTTAGGGGTAAGATTACTTTCCACACTATCTTTATTTTCTTATATTCTATCCCCCCACAGGATGTGGCACTCAGTTGATGAGGAGATGCTAGGTTAGGTCATAGGTTGGACTTGATGATCTCAAAGGTCTTCTCCAACCTAGTTCATTCTGTGATTCTGCCTCTGTGGCTTGAGATACCCACATTGTCACCCCAATTAAAGCTGTGTGCATATGGATGCTTTCAAGGACAGGTTCAGATCTCAGTCACAGCAGAACAAGTGACTCATTTAACCCAAAAGAAAATAAACAACACAGGTATCTGTTAACACCTGCAATGCTCAGTACAACAGAACTCAAGCTTAACAAGGCACAGTCCCCTCCTTTTATCAGCAACTATCAGGAGTGCTCCCAGGCACCCAGAGGCAGGAAAAGGATTTAAGCTTCACTCTTTGTGTCACTGGCTAAGCTTTAAAATAGGCAGTACCTCCTGAGAGGACAAATCCTCCATCCCTGCCCTGCATGGGGCTCCTGCAGCTGCCTGGGAGCACTGGGCTGTGAGTGGTGCTCAGCAGGACACTGGGCTGCACTGGGACAGTGCTCACACAGCCCCTGCCACGCTGCTCAACTGCTGCCTAGAACTGACCTTCACTACCTTGCAAGAATGTCTGTTTAGATTTCTAATCCCTCCCCAGCAACCTTTCTGACTGCTGCTAAAATATGGGTAACTGCCACTTTCTAGTACATTTTTCCAAATGAATGGTTGCTTAAAAAGCATGCTCTCAAGTGAAGGAAATTTCACTTCACATGGTGTAACAGGTACTCACTATTTATATACAAACCTGAAATGGGAGCATTTTGTACAGGTTTGCAAATTCTGGGGTTTATGAATGTGTATTAAGAAAACCAATGTACAAATTCACAGCTTTCAGGTAGACATGACTTCAGAAGGCCTTGCCAGGAGGTGAATGAGCCCAGGAGCATCACTGTCCAACAGCTCCATTTGGAATGAAATTGCCTAGTAACTTGGTTAAGTATTTTGCAATAGCTGCACAATTCTTTATGCTCTTTTGAACACTTGCATTTTTAAAGCCTTATACTAGCTCTGGGAGAACAGCTACAGTGGTTTATAAGGTGCCTCACAACTATTCAGAATGCTTTGGCTACAACAAAACTACTCTGAACTACTGCTGCTTTGTTTTATGAATGTCTGGAATAGGACAGAAATGTTGATTATTGGCTGAGATAATGGAAGCATAGGAAAGAGATGGGATGCACTGTTTGCTTACTCCCAGAGAAGGTTCTCATGGAGGAAGTGCATCCTGAAGAATTTGCAGCAGGAGCTCAGGTGCCATCAAAGCCACACAGCTACTTTGTGTATCTCCAGTCCCAGCACCAGCATTGTTTTTTGTTCTTAGCCAAACACAATTGAAATCTGTAGCATGAAATGTGTTTTCTGTAAGTTATTGTAGATGAAGTGTTACAGCAGGGCATTGATGATCACAGGAGCTGCTTGCCCAGCTTAGATCTAGTGCCCATAATTCCTCCTCTCCCTTTGCCAGTGACTGTCAATAGTCAGTGTGGTTTAAAGAGTACAGCACCTACCCCTCCCCTGGGGAACTCTTCCACTAGGGCACAGAGGGAGCACAAGTCTAATTTAAAATCCTACAGGTCACAGACTTACCAAGGAAAGGCAGCAAGGTGTTTCACTGGAACACCCACCCCAGGTTTTGGGAGTCAGAAGCTGCTGCTTTGCTCAAGGCTCTTCTATAATGCTGGAGACTGCTTAAAGTTACTGTAGTGTGTAAGTGTGTGGAAACCCACAAATGCACAGTGAAAGAGAACACTTCCAAAGTGAATAGTGACAGAACTCAAGATTTCTTTCGCATTTCAAATAGGAAAATACTTGCAAATTCTGCAGCAGAGAAATTAGGCTTGGCCTTCTCTTCAAAACTGAACAAAAGTCAGAGTTTTGGTGGTAAACATCAGCAAAGGCTCAAATGATTTTTTATTGCTGTTTGTCCCCTCTTCCATCTGAACTGCCACCAGTCTCTGAAAAACAGGGAGTTTATATCATCTATATTTTAGTCATTATAGCAACTGAGAGGTTTCCTGTCTATTTTCCTGGTAGTGATCCAAGTTCTGGAACAGCTGACCCAGCTCTGACCTCTACTTTCATTTAATTACTATTTATTCACTTTAAATTGGGATATGGATTTTTAAAAAATCCTGCATTTAAGCTCTATATACATGGCATGAACTTTCTTGTCCTTTATTAAAAAAGGCAATAAACCACTAGAAAATTGGTTTGCTTTTTTTTCATGAGTCCAAAACCTATATATAGATGTCCTGAGAGTTTTTGTACTATGTATGTTGTGAGCTTTTTTTCTTATGACACCTCACTTCTGAAGCTATTTTAAATGGCAATAAAATGATTCAGAAAAGGTTTGTCAAAGGTTTGACAGAGAAAAGAGAGAACTGAAAGAATTCAGCTGGCTCTTTTCGTGTTTTTTCTTTCAATTACTTGCATTTTCCTTTGGCAGTACTTCGTTTCAGATTCCTCAGCTGAGAATACTCTGACACAAATTTCAGATCTTTCTGGCACTATAAACTCCGTCATTTTCAAGCAACCCACTAACGAACCCTTACAAGTGTTCCACTGTCATCCTTAACTACTCATTTGTTGTGATAAAAGTGGAATTAGTCCATAATGCTGCTTCAGACTCTGGAAAAGAAGGATGAGTCGGCAGGCTGAGCTTTAAAAATTGCTTCTCTAACAGATGAGGTTGAGGAACAAATGAAGTTCAGAAACAAGAGAGTTGTGAAATTAGAGAACTCTTTCTTCTGAGTGAAGTTCTAACTTAGAAGCAAGACAGATTCCTTGCTGCTGAAGAAGTGACCTGTACCAAAGGAAGGCTGAATGTTACTGTAACAAAATACATTTTGTTAATGTGTGTGTAAGGGTCACGGGGGTAAAAACCAGAATTTAACTACCTTTGAAAACACCAAATAAACCAAGTTGACTAGAAAGACATTTTAGACTTGATTTTTTTTTTGTGGGTTTTTTTTTTTTTTCCATTGGAAGTATGCTGCAAGTGTTTGGCTATATCCTTATGGTACCTCACCTCTAACTACACTGAATTCTTCATTTAAAAATCCAATCCCAACTAGAGTGTGAGAAAACAAATACCACTATGAAAACTTTAAAGGTGAAAATGGAGTATTTGCATGCACACACACTCTCTCTCACTCTCTCCTCAGGTCAGCAGCAGCTAAACTCAAGGCAGTGCCTGAGGTTTCCTGCAGTTTTTCTTTACATTTTCACACCAGTAGGATAAATCTCCCATGCAGTGCAAACTAAGCTTCATATCATTATGTGATTTTTGACCACAGTCAAAAAAGGTGGTTTATATTTCAAACTAACTGCTTCTGACTCATGTTTCTTAACTCTTTCCCCCCAACTGCCCAAGATCTGGCAGTTGAAAGCTATCAATACCCTCTTAGTTCAGCAGATACAGTCTCAGCAAATGGACATTCCTTTTTGCTTTTTACCATAAATGTTTCACCTGGGGAATAGTCTGAATTGCCCATTTTACTGTGTCCTCTGTTGTGAGGCTTAGTGCACATGAATGAGAGCTCTTGATTCCTTGTTTTCAGCTTTCAGAGAACCAGATGTTCTTGGTGTTACTACACAACCCATGAATTAGTACAGCTTCTCTTGGAAATGAAAGCAATGAAACACTTCTTGTTTAAAGCTCTAACTCCTTGAGAAGGAGGGAACAGAACCAGGCAGTTAGGGGTGTTTACTGCCTTTAAAAGCCTTCTTCCACTTCAAGGAAACAGCAAAAAAATTACTTATCTATACAGGGGAAAGAAGTGTAAATTCAGCTCTGAAACAGGACTTAAAATGGCAAAATCTCTGATGCTGATGAGTCACTTAACTTACTTTACAAGCAAAAATGTGTCAGCTGGTTACCAAGGCTTCCTCCCCTTCTGGGACACTGGATTCAGGTTGAGGTACCCTCTCTCACATGCCACTGAGAATAGGAAAATCCTGCAAGCCAAATGTAAGTGCTTGCTGTCTTTGCACATTCCCTTTATACTGAGCAGTCAAAACCAAAACCCAAAGCAGAAGATGCAGTGTTTGAACCAGAAGTTAACAGCTCTGTCCAAGGTGCAGACAGGGAACAGGATTCTGCTCATCCCTTAGCTAGCTCAATACCGCCTTATTGAAAAAGAAAAAAAAAAAAAAAGACAGAATTAGTTGTTAAATCAATAGGAAAAAATCTGATTATCAGGAAACAGAGTGAGTACAACCACAACCATCTCTTCAGTGTAAAGCTTTGCTCTAACTCACCCATGTGAGCTACAGAATACCTCTGAATATTTCTGTGCTAAGTGTGTACAAACATCCATTGTGCTGACACATGGGACAGCAGGACCCTCCCCAGAGCTCTCCCTGCACATCAGGGACTCACTGAGCTCTGCTGACACTGGTGGATACACAGCCAGTCAGCTCAAAGAACTGATATTCCTCTATGCAAAACCAAATTCTCAGAGTTCAGCTTTAAAAAGCCAAGCTTAAAAATCTCAGAATGCCCAAGCTAATCCAGTCATCGCTTTTGCAATAATTATAGAGAAAATGTTGTGATCATTAGCACAAATATAGAGAAAAACTTCAAAAGATTTTCTTTAGCACTGCATTTTGGAGATAATGTGCTTTACTTTAATATACAGTAGAAATGTCAAGGAAATCTGAAGTACAGAAGAGTTTAATTCAACACCAGCT